TTCCCATGGGACCACTTCTCAAGCTTGTCCAGGTCCCTCTGAATGGCATCCTGTAAAAGACTAGAAAGTATCAGGCACTTCAATCCTATGTATGGAACACCAAAAAATGAGATTTCACATGCTATAGGTTCAGAAACATAAGTTCTAGTTTTGCTGCGCATCCCTGTTAGAGACCAGCCCTACTTTGGGGTACCCTGGTAAATCCACCTCAGCCCCACTCAGACCGTGGGCAGCCCAGTCAGCCCCTGGGACCTGAAACAGCCCAACACCTGCCCCCATCAGTAGCAAATGTAATCATGTTTACTGGGCCAAACTTATCACAGTTGATATGACTTCAACTAATTAGACTTAGCAATATCTTTGATCTCTAGAATTAATGAAAAAATATTTGCAATTATCGACAGTATGTGTTTAGCTTGTCATAAATGACTTTAATTAGTCCAAACATTTGAAAAGATGTAAAACTTTTGACTAATGGAAAATATTGAATACCTATTTTTACACTTTTGTTGAGTGGAAGCTGGAAGAGCAATTTACATATTCATCTACACTTGCAGCTTCACAGCCTCATTTAAATTTTTACTCAGAAATTACTGGTTAACCCTTATTTATTTATTTCAAAGCATGTTTGAGGGTGATGATAAGAAGAGGGTAAAGGTACAAAACTGAAGCATCCAAATAGTGAAAGTTGGATTTATCATTAATTACATCTCCTGGGACATGAACATACTATGTAAATAAGAGTGGTTTAAGTATTTTATATACAACATTTGCAAGGATGAGTCTATTTTATTAATGATTCTTGCTCCAACAGTTTTATCTAGGGTCAAACAAATTTTAGTCTAGGTTTCATTTCTAAAAAAATGGAACATATACATATAGCTCCTGACATTAAAGGTTTCTAATCCATGCTAGAGCTTTGCTTTCCTAATTATCATATCAGCCAAATATTTTAACAGAATTTTGCATAGCCTCTGGCTGAATTTTTTGGAATGCCATCTTCTGAAGGTAAATTGGATGAAAAAATTATTTTAAGGCACTAGCAAAAGGCAAATACTGCAACAACTTTCACGTTAGAAAAGTAGGTTTTCAGCTACATTACACTGGCTTTGTGTGCCTTCTATATTCTTGGTCACATTTCTACTCCCATTAATTCATGCTAACACTTTTCTGCCTGCCTTGTTAATACTGCAACTGTATGAAACAAAAATTAAAAGGAATTTATATTTTCTCATACACATTTTTTGCTTCTTTTGCGACATTAATCAACAATTTGCTGGTAACAAAATGACTGGAATATCTACTGACATACAGAACAAATAGTACCAATTCTGCTCTCAGTCTGGAAAGCATCAGTGGAATTATTAAAAGGACATGCTTGGTTGTCTCCTCTCAAATCTAAGGAGTGGATGTTTCCTCACCATAGAATAGTTTTTCTATTTTTATTCAGTTCATTATTGTTTGAGGGGTTTTGGTGAGGAGGGGGTTGTTGTTGTTAATTTGGTTGTTTTTTGTTGCTGTGTTTGTTTCTTTTGGTTTTAACTGTAAAAAAAATGCAGAAGTTCATTTATTCATCAACCTGATGGTTAGGAACCCACATAAGGTGGAGGTAGGATGTCACCTGCCTTTGCAAATTAGAAAATCTCCTGATCTACAGATGATCTCTGTGGAGATATTAAGGCAAGTTGATGACAACAAACTTTCCTCTTGCAGCTGAGGGCACAGTGTGATGTCGGAAGAAATTATAAAATGGATTGGTCTTCCTATGTTCATCATGGCTAGGCTTCGCGAACGAAGATTTGGGAAGGCTCTATCCACATTTGCTGCAGGCACGCTGGTGGCTTATGAGGCCAATACGTGACAGACAAATCCGATTGCAAAAGGCACAGCAGAAAGACTCCTTAGATGGTGTATCCTGCAATACACGGTTCTTTCTGCGTTGCCTTTTTTCCTCGAGGGTGATCCTGCGTGTGTTCTCAAAGGAGACAGCTGCGTTATAGATGGTGTGTCTCCAGGCCTCCCGATTTGAGGTCAGAGTAGACCAGTTATGGTGATCAATATGGCCAAGGCTGAGATGTTGTTTCAGGGAGTCCTTGTATCTTTTCTTCGGGGCTCCTCTCATGCGGCAGCCAGTGGCAAGTTCACCGTAAAGCAAGATCTTGGGAAGGCGGTGGTCCTTCATCCTGGAGACGTGCCCTGCCCAACGCAGCTGTGTTCTCATCAGCATAGCCTCGATACTTGTGATAGCTGCTTGCTCTAGAACAGATGTATTGGTCACATAGTCTGACCAGTGGATGTTTAGAAGTGTACGGAGGCAGCGTTGATGGAAGCGTTCTAAGAGACGCAGGTGGTGGCGGTAGATGACCCATGATTCAGATCCATATAAGAGAGTAGACAACACAATGGCTTTGTAAACACTGATCTTGGTGCTTTTCTTCAAGTGTTTATTACGCCATACTCTTTTATGGAGTTTTCCAAAAGCACTATATGCCTTTGCTAATCTGTTGTCTATCCGTCAATCTTACCATCTGAGGAGATGAGGCTACCGAGGTAATTAAACTGTTGGACTGATTTGAGCTCTGATTGACCAATGGTGATGTGGGGATGATGGGGGACATCCTGAGGTGCAGGCTGATGGAGGACCTCTGTCTTCTTTAAGCTGACCTCCAGACCAAAGAGCTCAGCAGCATCTGCAAAGCAGGATGTTAAACGCTGCAGAGCTGCTTCTGTGTGGGCAACAAGGGCGGCGTCATCAGCATAAAGCAGCTCCCGGACAAGATGGTTTAAGGTCTTGGTGTGGGCCTTCAGTCGCCTTAGATTGAATAGACTTCCATCAGTACGGTATCGAATGTAGATACCGTCCTGATCATTGAGGTCTGCTGTGGCCCTTTGGAGCATCATGCTAAAGAAGACGGTGAATAGGGTAGGAGCGAGAACGCAGCCTTGTTTCACACCATTCTTAATTAAAAAGGGCTCAGAAAGTGCATTGCCATATCTGACTTGGCCATGCTGATCCTCATGGAGTGAGATAATCATTTTGAGGAATTTAGGGGGACAACCTAAACGTTCCAAAATCTGCCACAGACCTTTTCTGCTCACGGTGTCAAAAGCCTTGGTGAGGTCGACAAAGGTTACATAGAGACCTTTGTTCTGTTCCCTACACTTCTCTTGCAGTTGTCTGAGGACAAATACCATGTCTGTGGTGCTCCTGTTGGCTCTGAAACCACACTGACTTTCAGGAAGGATACCTTCTGCTATAGTGGGTATTAGTCTGTTCAAGAGTATTCTTGCCAGGATTTTGCCAGCAATGGAGAGCAAAGTAATACCACGATAGTTTGAGCAGTCAGATTTAATTCCTTTCTTCTTATACAAGGTGATGATGACTGCATCACGAAGGTCAGATGGTAGTTCGCCGAGTTCCCAACAGCGCACCACGAACTCATGAAATTTGGTGTGGAGTGCAAGGCCCCCATGTTTCCAGATTTCAGGTGGAATTCCATCAATCCCAGCTACCCTGCCGATTTTCACCTGTTGTATGGCCTTGAGGGTTTCTCCTAAAGTGGGAGCAGTATCCCAATTCATACTTTACTGGTTGTTATGTGATGGACTGAATTGCTGAGTCTTGGACTGTGCGGTTGGTACTGAATAGAGTCTGAAAGTGTTCAGACCATCGATTCAGAATGGAGGTTTTATCTGTCAGAAGTGTTTGACCATCAGCGCTGAGTAGAGGGCTTTGGACCTGGTATGTAGGCCCATACGCTGTTTTCAAGGCCTCATAGAAACCTCTGTGATCACCTGTATCTGCGCATAATTGAGTTTTTTCAGCTAGATCAATCCACCATTTGTTCTGGATGTCACGGAGTTTCTGACAGTCAGGTGTATATATATAAGAAAAAGTCACTATTCAGGCCAGGGATTTCTGCTCTTCACCTCCAGTAGGTCAAACATACTGTCCAGCAGGTTGTATTGTATGAAAACCCAAGTTCAGGTGTTTGAGGATGTTTTGGGAGGAAAAAAATGGAGGAAGAGGTGAATGCAGTGGTTATTTTGTTGCTGGGGAATGAAGAAAACACTAGACTTGGAGAGGCAACTGTGCATTGCAGTGGTGGCATTCTTGTGTGTCTTCTCCTAAAAATGCAGTCAGCCCTCGGTTGTTAGCACACAGTTTCTCCAAGTAGGGTTCTGGTCATGAACACTGAGGTACTAGAACTTGTCCTGCACAGAGCAAAGCAGACTCTGTAGTCTGTCTATACCATGTGCTGCACTGCATCCTGTACTAACTGACTGTGTGGGAAACTTTATCTGGGTAGATTAGGTCTAAATTGTTCAAAATATTGAAAAGCTAACTATATTGTCGTCTTGTGCTTCAATGGTACCTAAAAAATGACCTAGGGGAGGTACCGTCCTTGTTCCTTGGGAGGCCGTTTCTGGCCCAGCCAGTGAATGTTGCAGTTCTCAGTGTGGCCGTGAGATGGCAGCACGTTGCTGTGGTTCGCTCCTCTCTGGGCTGGTACTTCCGGTGAATGGATGGAAACGGGAATCTGTCTTGCCCCTCTCCAAATCCAAACGTGACCAGGTTTTTCTATATAGTTTTCCATTTGAATTACTGAGCTGTAGCTGTCTCAGAGGTTTCCCTTTGTGCAGCCCAGAGCAAAAAGTCAATTAATAATAGTCTGTGGACTTTCATGGTAACAGAATTTTAAGTAGTGTGACACACGATCCCTAAATGGGACTAAGCCAGTTACTGAATTCTGCTTTGTGATCTTCTTCGTATGTTGTCTCCACTAGACATGAATAAGGAGAAAACCATGTGTTGCCTAATGATATCTGCAAGCAAGAGAAGGACAGAACATCACAGCTTGTCCTCCTTTCCTTCTTTGTAACCGAGATGTCAGGTTTTTTTCTGGAACTGTATCCTGCTGTGCATCTCTGTATGGTTATGAAGAGCTCTTAATCAGGACTTAATAATAGTTGTGTGTCTTGGTTGTGGTTTTAGCTGTAATGAGTGGATTCTATTTTTCTGTGAACAGGTGGGCGTTATACCAAGGACGATTTCAAAGAGTACGAGAAGGAACGTGACAAACCTTCAAAACTTGCTCTGAAAGAGAAGGTAAAACCAAAGCAAGAGTATCCTTTCTGGTCAGAGGTGCTTTTTGAATTAAGTACAGTTTATGAAAGCAACCTGGAAAAGACTTCTTAATTTTAAAGCTTGCCAAATGGATGTTTTGCTGCTGCCTCATAACCAACCATTTGGTGTTTTGAGATAGAATTAAGCATTTTGTGCTTTTCACTTGATAGCTTTGATGAATTTAGTAAATATGCTCTTTCACTTCCATGTTGTGTGCAGGTAAATAATGTTCCAAGTCTACGGCCCTGGAATGACGTATAGCATAACAGACTTTTAAGTAGTTTCAGAAGGGACATTCTATCCAGAATGAAACCGAGTAGTAACTAAATCATTCTCTGAGATTATACTTTGCTTGTGGTAAGCATGAGAGAAAATAAGCCCATAGCTTGTTCAGGTATCCACAGGTATTAAAAAAAGGAGAACTGGGACCTGGCTGTACTGTTTGACAGGACAGAATTCGGTTAACAGCCCTGTTCTGACTGAAATACATTTTAAGTCTTGGTAAATGCTTTTTCGATAAACAGGGATTTGTTTGCTTCACGAGGTGTTGTGTTCTGCTACTTATTGATATGAAATAACAGATCTGTCCTTAACCAACACCATCAGTGCCAAGTATGACCTTGTGCTGGATGAGGATGTAGAAGAGTCTCAAACAAGTCACTCACACTTGGCTAAAAAACAAAAGAAGAAAAAGCACCACCACTCCGAAGATGACGATGATGACAAGAGGACCAAAAAATCTAAGGTACTTACCTCTTCATGCACTAACTTTATACCTGTTCATTGGTTTCCTCATAGAAGAAGCCAGGAAAAACAGGTCCGATATTGAATGAGGACATGGCATGCAAAGTCCCTTAAAATACAACACTTGTGAACCTGATGTTAATATTTGATTATGAAAGAGACTTTCCAAATCCTTCTTGACTTTTGCAGCTTGGCATATCTAGATGGCTTTTCACCAAAACATCCTAAAGAGGCAGTGTAGCCTCTCATAAAGTAGGAGATCTTCAGCACTTTGAACCCGTTGTTCACATATTCCCAGTCATAAACTAGTAGTTAATCATATTTCATGACTGTAGACTATTTTTCATTTTCTTGCCAGACCATCATATGTTGACTTTTTCCCGTATGGAAAAACCCCCAATCTCTTTGCATTTTTTTTCCCCCCCTAACTGTTTTGGAAGCATTTCTGTAAAATCTGTGTGTGGGTTTGCTTGCATCTCTACTGTGCAAGCATATGGTACTGTAAGGCTGGGACCATGGAGGGGATCATCAGGAAAGACTGGTTCTTTCTTTCATTAGTTCCACTGCAGCCTGTCAGGACAGCAGTCTCACATTTCTGTGAACTTGGGATAGTCAAGATATTGGTGTTCTGTGGAAACAAGGTCTGCAATGATAAAGTGGAGGGTTGAACCGTCATTGCAGTGTGAGCATTAGGAGGAATTGAGTTAAGCTGAAAAAGAAAAATACCCAAACCCTACTATTTTAAAAAAGCAAGCTTTATGAGTGAGAACAAAGCTGTCTTCTACCAACTTTGTAGAAAGTGGTAAGGTTTCAGCCACAGTAAATAAAGCCTTTGTCCTGTCATGAGTTTTGAGTACTGCTGTAAGTTCTGTGTACACAGAGCATTCACGATTCTGTTGTTCTGTTACATCACTACTTCTGTGATGCTTAAAAATAACTTTTCTCATGAACATTAGTAATTAAATTCTTTCAGTGCCACCAGTGAGCCCTATTGCTCATTCATGGACAAAGTCTTTTTGTCACTGTGTACTAATTATGTCAGGGTCCCTTGGACAGAGGAGGGGAGACACCTGTTCGGATAATTGAAATCTCAACTGGAGCACGTACAGACAAGAGGTCTGGGCTACCGTTGGTTTAGACTTCCTCCTGTCTTTTTGGCTGATTGACACTGTCGCTTCAGCATTCTTGAAAAGGGTATTTCTGGCAGTAATCTTTGTTCTTGATGGTTCAGAAATTACACCTGTGGAACTTGCTGGTCATGTGTTATCAGCAGAGAACATTTAAAAATCATTTAGAAGTCTCCACCCCTGCAAATGGCACAAGTACCAGCAGCAATATAAGGTGTTAATCTCTGTCATAATAGTTTCAAGGGAGTCTTAGTCTTCACAGCACAGTGGATTTCATAGCACAAAATCATGGATGAGGACAGATGGATTCCTGACGTTGTTTCTGGTACTGGAAAAGAATATTTTCTAGTGCCTCACTGTATGATCTCTTCTATATGTATGTGTATCTTTTTGTGATTTAGTCACCTGCTCCTAGTGTGGTTTGTTC